CCTTCCTCAGACTTTTTCTTAGATTTCAGGGTTGTGTGCTGTATTATTATTAGATAAATAAATTTAAGTATTTGTCAAATAGTGATTTTATTAAAAGAGAAAAAATTATAAATGGTGTTGAAAAACCAAACAAACGCTCGTGCGAAAGCTCTATTTTTGTGTATTGTTAAAATTTATACATGGCGTACTTATTCTTTTGTGGACTTTATGTTTCTTGAGAATTTAGACAACGTGCGAGCTGCCAGGTTCTGTTATCAATATAATTAACACAAGCTTTTCCGAGTGGTTGCCTTTCAATAAAAAGAATAAACAAATATTCGCAAATAAATTGGATTTATTTTATAACTGACAACTAACCTACGCTTTTTGTTCTTTTCTCCATTTTAATTTTGACTCCTTACATACATATACATACATATTTACAAGCTGTCAAAATTTTGCGTAGTCCCACGAGCTAGGTAAAAACTATGGGATTCGTATTCAAAACGAGAAATCTCAAAATTTTTGTTTGGTCTTTCCAAATTTTCTCTTTTTAATCAGTTGGCAAAGGCCCTCAGTGGCAGCGCTCCGAGCGTTGAGATAGTAATTTCATGTCAATTAGTAGAAAAGTTCCATGTTGAAAAAACTTTTTATTATGGCGAGAAAATTTTACATTTCTGCTGTGCCAATTCGTAACTTTTTACTGTTGGAAATTTTTGACAGTTGCTCTGGTTCAAAAGAAGTTGAGCAAATTAAAATCACAAATTATACAAAAAAGACTTGTCTTTACTGACATTTATTCTTCTAGAACTAAAAGCCATGAATTTATTAGACGCCTTAGTAATAGAATGAAACCATCAGGCCGGGTTGAAAATTTTCATTCACTTCATTGTTAACAAAAATTTACAATCCGTAGTACTTTTCTATAAATTCGCAAATGCGTTTAATTTAAATCGTTTAGAAAATGCGTCATTTATGTATACCATTTTATGTGGAATTATTCAATAACTTTCGTTTTACACTATACTTTTTGAAACTAGTTTGGAGTTAATTATTTTTTGTTTCTTAAAAGCAACCCTGCGTGCTTGGAAAGCGTGTGTACCAATAATTTCATCCCTAGCATATTCATCCCCGAGGAAGGCAGTCGCCAAATTCACCGAAGGTTGTTTACTGGTTATATTGTGCACTGGGTTGTAGTGGTTAGAAGTGCGCAACCCTTGAAAATGAAAAACAGCTTCCCATAAAATTCACTCGCCGTTCAAAGTCGACATAAAACTGTAGGCACCCCCTTTGTGCCATAACATTAAGGCCCACGCGACAAATCGGAGAAGAAGTTCGGCCAAACACTAACATATTGTGTAAGCGCCGGACTTTATTATTATTACAACACGTAGAGATTGAGGTGTTGACTTAAACATTAATTACAGTTTAAAAATGTTCATATTTAAATCAAGTGAAAAGTCTTAACCAAATGGATTTTTCCATTATACATACACTACGTACATATAATGGAAATATTCAATTCAAATACTCCCGTACTAAAATGAAGCATTTTTCACTACACGGATGGCGTTTTGCACGTCTCGGATGCTTTTTGATATGTAATTAAGAAGGTATATGTATACAAAGCATGCACAGCGCGTTGAAGGAAATACTGGTCCAATTGCTCGAAAAATATAGTGGTAGGTATAGTAGTTTTGTAACTAGACCAAAGATAGTCCAAAACTTTAAAGCAATGTAATGTAAAACAGGTGAATTGTACTAAAAGAGGTCCGAATGTAATGCATAAGGTACGAGTTTTGTTCTAAAATTGGTTACAATGTCATGCAGTAGCGGACATTGGGTATGATTCACGATTTGCTGATATGTAGGCACTTAGTCAACGAATTTTCATGTGCGGCGTTGGGATGTTGAGAGAGTATCCGCTTAGAAAATCTGAGAACCCCGGTTCGAATCGCAGTTGGCGCAAGTTTTATTTTTGTTTATTTTACATGTTGTTGGACCAAACTTTGGACTAGTTACAATCACTTGCAGTCTAGTTGACAACACATATACACATACATGGTATGACATCCCTGTAGGATCTCGGAATAGACTTAGAGCACACCACAAACTAGACTGTAAGTGATTGTAACTAGTCCAAGTTTGGTAAAACTCTATTTACATTTAACATTTAACGCTTCTGCATTAACTGCATTCGAACCGGGGTTCTCAGATTTTCTAAGCGGATACTTTCTCCGCATGCCAAAGTCGCACATGAAAATTTGTTGACTAAGTGCCTACATATCAGCAAGTCGTTAATTGTACCCGTTGTCCGCTATTGCATGATATTGTAACCAGTTTTAGATCAAAACTCATACCTTATGCATTACATTCGGACCACTTTTAGTACAATTCACCTGTTTTACATTATATTGCTTTATATTTTTGGACTATCTTTGGTCTAGATACAAAGCTTCTTTATCTACGACTATATTTTTTGAGCAATTGGACCAGTATTTCCTTCAGCGCGCTGTGCATGCTTTGTATACATATACCTTCTTAATTACATATCAAAAAGCATCCGAGACGTGCAAAACGCCATCCGTGTAGTGAAAAATGCTTCATTTTAGTACGGGAGTATTTGAATTGAATATTTCCATTATATGTACGTAGTGTACATTGTGTATTTTTCGAGCGATTGGACCAATCTTTCCTTCAGGGATAATGCACTAATCGCGCGCTGTGATGTTGATTCAAACTCAACATTTGAAAACACCTTTACATGTATGGCTGCAGCTGAGTGTGCAAAGACGCTTGATACAATTAGTTGCGGCCAAGAGGGTCCGGGTTCAATTCCCATCAGACGGAACATAAAAATAATTTTTTTTCTTCTTAATTACGAAAAAGCATCTGTGCACTTCACAACCACATATTTTATAACGTATATACTCAAAATTAAAACGAGTTGGGTTGGTGCTCTTTCATATGCGTATTTTTTTCAATTTAGCACGTTATATTTTAATTCTAAAATTTTCTTCCCTCAGTGTTGGAATGTGAGTTTATGACATTCGATACGATACTAGGGTTCTGGTACTCGATTCCAAAAAATATCGTTTTAAAACTATCGAGTAGAAAATATCGGTATCGAATGCCAAAAGTATCGATATGGTATCGTATCGTATCGAAATTCGTGTCCCTACCTACAAGAAAACAGCTGATCAAAAACTGCTGGTTGGAATTTACGCAAATCCCTAAATCGAATTCGATGGTTTGGAAGCTAAAATAGTAAAATGCGACCAATTAAACTTACAAGAAGTAAGTAATTATTCGTTTAGTCAGTGAACTGTGTCAGGATAAGACTTCGAGATTTGTTTTCTTACGTTTTAAATTTTTTTGAATGTAAACAATATTTCTATCAGCTGTTCGTCTAATTTGCAAGTTTCTGCAAACTTTCTGTTCGCGTACTATTTTGGATATTTTTCTCTTGTGAGATAACAGATGACATTTCGCCGGACATTTTTTACTGGGGACTTTAAACGAACATACCTATTGACTATCCAACATTTAACAGAATTGTTACGAACGGCCTTAACTGACCTAAAACCAGATTTTGAAAATCTCGCCAAAGGAATCTTTTGAATTTTCTTTTATATCTATCTTACGTACAATAGGATTATAATAAAATTCATGTTTTTCATTTCTAATAATAATTTTCAGTGTTACCATCTTTTGATTTGCGAAAAGCACGAAAAACTTGGAAAAAAGCGTTTTACCACACTAAAAGCACCAATTTTTTTTGAATCAAGGGATAATTTTTTCATAACATAGTACCGAAGTACTGCACATTAAAACTGGTATATCTCGAGAAAGAAAATCGAATCGCATCAAACGAAAATGATGCCCTAATAAGAAATGAGCAAATTATTTGATGTTTTCATTTTATAACCTCAAATGTCGCTAAGAACCGTGTTTTTGACACTTTGAGGTTAGGATATCTCAAAATTCTAAAGCTAGAGCAATTGTGAGGCCAGATTTGGATTCAGCACCAAGAAACGATGTGTTTTACTCAGGTGGTAAAAAAAAAAACAAAATTTGTACAAATAATTAGTAAAGAAAAAAACAAATACTTAACTTAATTGCGTACTAGCATTTTCATCGCGAATAGAATTTAACAAGTTGGGTTTGCAACTTCAGCTTATTATCAATCATGGTTGTATTTTAGTACATTTAAATTTGAAGATTCTTGTAAATTCAGTGCTGCCACAGCCTTAAATATTCCAAATTATTTCAGGTTTTAACTATCTCGAAGTAATTTTAGTTCAGAAAAAAGCACTAAAAAAGGCACTAGGCAGTAAATATTTTTTTTGGCGTTTTAGTTTTCAAAAAGCACAAAATCTAGTGCTTAAAGCACCAAGTTGGCAACTATGATAATTTAATTTAAAAATAAAATTTTTGTTTTTCTTGTTATTTTTTTTGGCTCTTTGCAGCATTTAGAACTTAGATGTGGCTCTTTTCGGCTTCTGCCTTGCCCACCCCTGCTATATACATTTTCATACAAGGCAGGATTAAACCGTATTAAAACAAAGAAAGAAACACAACAGCAAACAACAGCTGAGCTAAGAAGCAATGTCATGCTATAACAGTATGTTTGAGATGGAATGACATGGCATAGCAATGCATGAAATTTTTGAAAATGACATTTTAATAGATACGCTGGGAAGAAGTTAAGAAAATGTTTAAATTTATATTTTGTTACCTACTTCACCGATTTGAAATCTGAAATCTATACCTTTCATGAGCATGAAATGGTATTATAACTTGGTCCGATATTTGTAAGTACCAGAATAAGAAGAGATAGACTCATGAAAATGTGTACTTATGTACGTATGTGACCAGAACATCGAGCTGAGCCTACTAATACAGAATACACCATACAAGCGGCTTGTCAAACCTACTTCAAACCTACTTTTTTCATTTCGCCATACACCATACAAACATGACTTGTTCAAGCGAGAATTTTAGTTTACTTCCGGTTCACAATGAGTACGGATAGGAAATGTGTAGCGGCAATTTTGCTCGCTATTGCTATTAAGCGAAGGAAAGCACGCAAACAAAGACAAAGAATTTGGAGTAAGGACTGGTATTTAAAACGACCTATTCTAGGGCAAACAGAGCTTCTAAAAGAATTAGAATATACATCCGAAAGTGATTTCAAAAATTATGTTCGGATGACTAAGCCCACTTTTGACTTATTGCTTGGAAAAATTGCGCATTTGATTACAAAACAAAATACCATGATGAGAGATGCGATCCCCGCCCATCACCGACTCGCCTTGACATTAAGGTACTTGGCAAGCGGCAATAGCTTCGAGGATTTAAAATTTTTATCAGCAATAGCGCCCCAAACAATTGGTCGAATCGTCAACGAAACTTGTGAAGCATTAATAAGTGAACTTAAGAATTTTATAAGGGTAATAAAAAGTTTAGTTTATTGGTAACTTAAACATTATTCTTTAAATTAAGAAAAATAAATTAGAATTATTCTTTATTTAAAAGGTATGTTTATGGAATTCTATTCATCACTGCCGAAATTTCAAAAATAGTTTTGAATACTGTTTTCTTCATAACAGCTCGTTGAACAGTCATCCTCTTCAACGTATGTAGCATTCATTTGGTCTTCCGCATTTTCATTTTTCATAAAGTATATAATTTCTGCTTTTTTTGGAGTTGACACTCTGTTGTTGTTTGTGAAATCCCCACTACTTATGGGAATTCCGACCCTGTAACTACTAGTGGAACCACCACTACTTAAGGGAGTGGGGACTCTGTAACTACTAGTGGAAGCAGCACTACTTAAGGGAGTGCATGTAGAAGTCCTACTGCTTAAATGTGCAGGATTTTGTAAAGCGCTTCTTTCCGAAAAGTGCTCCGGTAGGTTATTATATTCTGACACGTTTTGAGTATTAAAAATATTCTGTATTTTCACAGTGTGACCGACTTGAAGGTTCCCTAGACAACCATGAAAAAGTACATCCGAAATTATTTTGCGAGCAATTACTTTTTGACTGTCGTTCATTTCATTGTACTGTGTGGCCCAAGATCTCGCCAAGTTATCCTCTTCTTTTGGCTGACTGCTGCTGCCAATCTTATTAAATTGTCTTCCTGGCACGCCTTTCTTTTTCTTGGTTGAGCATCAGACCCCTGAAATAAAAAAATACAGAAATTACCTTTTTGACATATACCTATATATTTTTACATATTATTTCAGCTCCCACAAACACAAAATGAGTGGAGAAGAGAAGTTTCGGATTTTTATAACCTTTGGAACTTTCCGAACTGTATAGGCGCTATAGATGGGAAGCATATTAATATTCGTCAGCCACCTGGATCTGGATCTTTTTACTATAATTACAAAAAAACATTTTCCATAGTGCTGATGGCAGTGGTCAATGCCAACTATGAGTTTTTAATGGTTGACGTTGGCAAAAATGGCAGAGCATCTGATGGAGGCGTATTTCGCGAAACAAAGTTTTTTTCAAAACTAGCAGCAAACACTTTAAAAATTCCGAGCCCAGAGGCTCTTCCGGGATGTGGTGAAAGAATGCCGTTTGTGTTTGTAGCTGACGATGCTTTTCCGCTATCGGAAAATATTTTAAAACCATTTAGTCACAACACTCTCAAAACAGAGGAGATTATCTTCAACTACAGGCTTTCCCGAGCACGAAGGATTGTTGAAAATGCTTTCGGCATTTTGGCATCCAGATTTAGGATCTTGTTACAAACTATAAATATGTCACCAGAAAAAACCACTACTATTGTGCTAGCTTGTTGCTATTTGCATAACTTTTTGAGGAAGCAAAATGAGCGAACTTATTTCGAAGGTGGTTTGGATACGGAGCAAGTGGAAATGGGCATTATCGAATATGCAGATTGGCACAGTGGTCCAAATCTTCAAAACCTTCAAGCTTCAACTTCTAGAAATGCATCCCGAAATGCAAAACAAATTAGGGAAAATTTTTGCACATATTTTAACACAACTGGGTCAGTACCGTGGCAAAATAATGTTTTAAGATAAGCAAAATGAATAATAAAAAATGCAATAAACACAATATTTTATTTATGTTTTCTTACTTCACATTCGGTATCTTCAACTGTACTCCTTCCCATAATATATTCTTCCTGGTCTTCGAGAAAAGTTAGATAATCAAAGTACCACAGTACTGGCACATATTCCTCGTCCGCACCAGCACCCGATTTGAGACTAGCTTTCTTTTTCCTCATTTCACGCCGGTACGAAGTGCGCAACACATTGATCTTTTTAATCACCATTTGTTTTGTAGCCTCAGTATATTTTTCTTTTAACTTCTCAGCTAAAATTTCGTAATCCCTATTTTTGACTACCCTATTGCTATAATCTTTGGATTTTACCTTCCATAGGGATGGTAAAGATTTATAAAGTTCAATAAACTCTAATAAAAATGTTTGGTCGTCTTCCATTTTTTCTCTTCTACGTCCTCACTCGATGAAAATTTCGTTGCGAATGAGGCGATTTTGCTATACACAACGCAAGCGGTTTGATCAAACATCAACATGGCGGCCAGAAAATCAAAAAATTTTGATTTTTGCTCAAATTTCCCTCAAGCGGTTTGTCAAACCTTCAAACACCCCCATACACAGCACAAATGGCTTGAAGCAAAGGGAAATTTCGCTTGGTTTGTCAAACCGCTTGTGTGGTGTATTTCGAAATAATTAATTTATTTATTATTATATGGCAACCGAACTTCAGTTGGGTGGCCACTGGCTGAAATGGTTTTACAGATGGCAACTGCAAGCTGGCAACTGAGTTGCTATATTGGCAATTGCATTTTTGTGGTCGCTGCGGTAATAATCGAAGATTGTATACCTACATACAAGGTAAACTACAAAGTCTAGGGGGAGGGCTCGATTAGAAATCTAGATGCTATGGAGCGCAATCTGCACAAATTATATATTTTTGTAAAGGGCACTTTGTAACTCGTCCTTTACGTCGATTCATGACGTCGATTTTTGACAATTAACTGCGAAAAGTACCAAAAAAACAAAAAAAGAAGGGTATTGTTTTCGTTTTGAACGACTCAAAACTTGCCTATAAAATAATCTTTTAAAGATTTTCACTTTTCGTGTAAGCTATTGTAATTATAATATGTTTTACTATACTTTTATAAATATTCATGTAAAAAAATATTAATATCAATGAAGAAAACGTGATTCATTTTTAAAGTTTAAAATGTATTAAGAATTTAGAATCATAAATACTCTTTTGATATTTTTATACTACGTAAATATATGTAGGCATATTTTTGAAAAATTGTCCTTCATTTTGAATCCATATTTATGGTCACCGTATAGATAATGCTCCTAGCTATCTCTACAATAAACTAATCTTCCCTAAATCAGCTCGAATAAACGACTTGATAGTACCACCATTTAATTATTTAACCTCTGCAATTATCTAACCTCTGTGAGTTTGGGTTTCGCTATCTAAATGTTTAACTTTTTCTTCTCATCTGTGTTGATCTTTGCTACATATGTATAATGTGATATATATTTTATTTTATTTTTGTTTTAAGTAATCTGTATGTATTTTATTTTACTGTGTAACACGCCGCTTTTATTGTTTTACTTATTTATGTATACATGTTTTATGTTTTGTTAATTTCACGTTTTACACATTCACATATCTGGCAATACCGTGTATGGCAATACCTTTTTCTGTCAAAGTCAAAGTTAAAGTTTTATTCTAATATGGCAATGCCGTAAAAATGTAACAACATCTATTTGTCTCTTTTTTGCATGTGAGTTTTAAATTGTATAACAATTGTATAGCAGGACTGCCATAGCACAAACGGTATTGATCAGTGTGCTTTGCATAGCATATAAAAAGCCTGTACGCTTATGAATTTGCACATTTCGTTTGGTGATCGGGGGTGAGCAGAGCTCTTGTGCTTGTATACGACTGCCTTTGCAGAGTAGACAGCGATAGCTGGCCGCTTCCAAGCAGTTATTGCTTGCATATCTGCATTTTGCAGTGTGGACAGCGATAGCTGGCCGCTGCAGAGCAGATGGTGCTTGGGCTCGCGCAGACTACTAAACCCAATGTTCTTATTTGTAGTTTTCGTTACCGTATATTTTTTTATTGTCCGCGTGAATACTTTTAAATAAAACTTAAACCAAACCACGGAGCCTCCCTGTTTTTTTTAAACATCAACGGTCTCATCTCTACATCGGCGGCCAACTTAGTGGCTAGAAGCTTAATTTCAAAATTTCGCCAAGAAGAAGCCCACGACTGAACATGATGGTGACACTATCAACGGAACAGTTCCAGGAACTTTTGAAGTCGGTAAGCAACAGCAACGTACGTGCCGGTACACTCAGCACATGCAATGCGCGTTATAACGGAGAGCGCAATCCGGTGAAGGTGGAAGAATTTGTAGTAGCGGTATCCACTTTCAAAATGGTGGAAAAAATTAATGACACCGACGCAATAAACGGGATGCCCCTGCTGCTCGAGGGTGATGCTGCGGAGTGGTGGCGTGGTGTGTAGGATCAAGTTACTACGTTTACGGAAGTAATCGCATGCTCCGAGAATGTTTCGCACCGGCAAAGCAAGCATGGAGAGTTTATGCAGAAATAATGGAAAGTAAGCAGCAGAAAGGCGAACCAACGGACACTTTTATCCGAAAGAAGCGAGCATTATTTGCACAGCTGCCTAACACGCCAGCAGAAGCTGATCAACTCGACATGTTGTTTGGTATGCTTAATGCTAATATTCGAGACAGAGTGAGCCGTCTGAAAGTTTCGTCCTACGAACAGCTGCTTAATGATGCTCGTGAAGTAGAGCTATTAATAAGCGAACGCGAAATCCTTAAAAGACCACAAGAGCAAATCGCGCGCTGTAATTTTTGCCATAAGAAGGAGCATACGCGTGAAACTGGTTTTAAGAAGCAAAAATCTGATACAAATGAGGCAAATGCCGCTACGATCGCTGCTGCTATAGCTGCCAAACCGAAGTTTGCATGCTATGGGTGTAATGCACCTGGCGTGACGCGAGCTAATTGTCCAGTATGCTGCATGAATAAAAAATCTTCGAGAGGTACTATTAATTTCAACTCGCTATCGCCCGTAAATGTTGGTCGTGACATCCCACTGGCCCACATACAGCTTTTTGGTGTACCAGGACAAGCGTACTTCGATACTGGTGCGCGTACTAGCATAGCAAGCACAAACTTGAAGCGGGTGATGGACTTCAAAGGCTTTCAGTACCAAAATGTTACGTGTGTCATCGCGTTAGCAGACGGAATCGTAACCAGAAAACACTGCTTGGCAACGGTATGGAAAATTATGATTGGTGGCCGCTGTATGGATATCCAGTTCATTATACTACCTGACGCTGAAAGAAACCGCACTCTACTCGGTGCAGATTTTCTGGACCAAGCTGGTATAGTGCTAAATATGGGGCAGAGGTACTGGTACTTTGAAGACAACCCAACTCAACACTTCGATTTTGCGGAAACTGTGCCGTTCAATCTTATTGAAGTCGTTAAATGCGCAAATGTCCCACCTAAGCGCAAATTGTCCATGACTAAACCACGCTCAGAAGCAGACGTATTCGAATGCGAGAACTATGGTCCTGAAATTCCCACTAATGATTACTCGCCACATTCGATCCAGGTAATATTTAGAGACGCGTTGCCACCAGATGCATTGACGCCAAAGAGGCAAAGCGAACCAACGCTATTTCCTAGTCTTGTTCCTAAGAGAAGGCATGATGATGATGATGACGATTACGTGAGGTTGTACTCGTTCAATTTCAAAATATTGAAAGCAACAGATGGTGCGAGTTTGAACCTCCAGCAGAAGCAGCAGCTCGATGCAGTGCTCCAAGCAAATGCGGAAGTATTTGGAGACATCACAGAACCAACGCCATACGCTGAGCACCGAATCAACACTGGTGACCACGAACCGGTATTTAGTCCGCCATATCGTCTTTCGTTTGCAAAAACGCGTGAACTGAAAACGGAAATCGAGAAGATGATCGAAGCAGGTATTGTCGAAGAATGCGAGTCGTCTTGGGCATCCCCCGTTGTAATAGTTCCGAAGAAAACTGGTGGGGTGCGCGTCTGTATTGATTACAGAAAGATTAACGCCATAACCGTTCCAGACAGGTATCCACTGCCACGTATGGATGACCTTCTACATGCAGCGAAAAGTACTAATTTTATGACTACACTAGACCTTCAAAGCGGTTATTACCAAATAAAAGTTAATAATAATGACTCTTACAAGACATGTTTTATTACCCCATTTGGGACCTTTTTATTTAGAAGAATGTCATTTGGCATTTTGCACCGGCAACGTTCCAACGTCTTATGGATCGTTTCAAAACCTCTGTTTCGAAAGTTAAAATTTTAGTTTATCTCGATGATTTTATTGTCTGTTCTCCGTCATTCTCCGAACATTTAAAAGATCTTGTTATCGTTCTATCTAAGTAGCAAGAGTATAAATTGCGTGTAACTGATAAAAGCCGATTTTGTTGTGAGGAAGTGAAGTATCTAGGACATGTTCTCACGCCTGACGGGATATGCGTTGATCAAGAGAAAACAGTTGCTATTAGCCGAAGAAAAGAACCGAAGAATGTTAAAGAACTTATTTCATTTATTCAAACGTGTTCTTGTTATCGAAGATTCATAAATGGCTACGCGGAGATCTCGAAATCATTAACCGAACTTACGAAAAAGAATGCCAAATGGGCTTGGACTGTAAGGCAAAAAGATGCATTTGAGTCTCTTAAGTATGCATTAAAGTCTGCACCCATCTTGAAACAAGCCCAAGACAACTTACCATTTTATATAAAAAGTGATGCTAGTGCTTATGCGCTAGGCGGAGCTTTACTCCAGGGGGAGGATAACACAGAACATCCGATTGAATATGCAAGCCGACTGTTGTCGGCTGCTGAAAGAAGCCCTAGCTATCGTGTGGGCATGTTCCGAGTTTTGAGGTTATATAGAAGGAGCCGAGATAATTTTATTAACAGAC